AGATCCAACAATCCCTTTACAATTCAACTGTGAGTCCAGCTGCAATCTATAGCACCATAACTCCTTACTCCACCACAGAACCCAGTATTTCTTGAAGATTCTTAATTGCAAAAAAAAAAAAAACCACAATTGGAGTGTGCCCAAGACCATGTATAGGGTTGGCAGACAATGTTCCTACAAGTGTATTGGTACGTTCTGTAAGAATTCCCAGGTGGATACTAGAGCTGACAAAGGACAAGGTTGTCATCACTTCTTGGCCACAGCCAGTCACCCAGAGGGAGCGAGTAGTTGAACCGGTGGGCTTGGGACCATACTCAGAGGGGACATCAAGCCCAATTGGCATAACACACTACACAAAACATTGTTCCACCTCCTACTTTGTCTAGTAATGACTGGGATCTTAAAAGCTTGCAAGCAGCCATCTAGATGCAACGATAGATTTCTCCTCGTCCAGAGCAAAGAAGGATGAAAAAAAACAAAGATTCATGGAATCAATTAGTCCAAGCAACTGGTACACCATGTGATCCTCAGCCTATATGACTATGAGACCAAAAGAACTAGATGGTGCCCAGCTACCACTGTCAACCTCTGGGAGGGGGATCTATGTAAGAGATCCTGGATAGAGTAGGAGAACAATGTGAAACAAAACTCAAAATCATTTGGGGGGAAAAAAAGGGACCAGGTTTGCTGGTCTGATAGAACCTGATGGAACCACTGAGACTATGGCCCCTAGCTGCCCTTCAGGTTGGTATTGAACCCACTTGGGCTGCTTCCAACCAAACAAAAGACAGGCATATGAGGTGAATATTTACACTAGGTAGATTCACTTCTTGGAGAGAACAATCATGGGAGAATAGAAGGGTGCTTATGCACAGGGAGACAGCTCAGGGGGCAGGAGTGCATGGAGAGGACACAGGGAAGAAGTAACTATGGGGAGGAAGTGGGAGGGGAGCTGTTGCATTGTGGTAAATTGTAGTCAATGTCATGAGACAAAGTTTATGTGAGTTGCTGTATGGAAAGTGAATTTGCTCTGTAAACTTTCACCCAAATCACAATGAAAAAAAAAAAAAACAGCACAATTGAGTAGATTACAACTCATGGCATTCCCATGTTTTACAGCTCCCTAGTGCCTAGGAGCTCTGGTAGCATAGTGCCTAAGGCACTTGACTGCTAACCAGAAGGCTGGCGGTTCAAACCCACCAGCCACTCCTCAGAAGGAAGACGGGGCAATCTACTTCCGTAGTGATACCGCCTAAGAAACCCAAGGAGGGGTCGCTATGAGTCGGGGCCGACTCGACGGCACATAACAACAACAACAAAGTGCCTAGGAGCTCTGGTAGCATAGTGCCTAAGGCACTTGACTGCTCACCAGAAGGCTGGCGGTTCAAACCCACCAGCCACTCCTCAGAAGGAAGGCTGGGCAATCTACTTCTGTAGTGATACCGCCTCAGAAACCCAAGGAGGGGTCGCTATGAGTTGCATCCAACTCGATGGCACACAACAACAACAACTGGTGGCATAGTGCCTAAAGCATGTCACTGCTAACCAGGAGGATGGCAGTTCAAATGCACCAGCCACTCCTTGGAAGGAAGACTGGATAATCTACTTCCATAGAGATAATCGCCTCAGAAACATGAGGAGGGGTTGCTGTGAGTCGGGACCAACTCGACAGCAGTAAGTTAGGTTTTGGTTTTTGGTAGGGTTTCCTTGGATGCAATCGTAACAGAAGCAGATCGCCAGGCCCCTGTATTTCCAGTGGGTGGGTTCAACAGTCAGACTTCAAGTTAGCAGTCAAAAGTCAAAGGCAAACCATTTGTGTCACCTAGGGTTTTTTTGTAATGTATTTGGAAAGTACATGTAAGATAATCTCTTGACAATTTAGGGCTATAAAACATTAGGTACCACTTAAACAGCCACCAACACCAGACCCAGGGAAGACCCTGAGGAGAGAAAGAGACAGGAGGAGAGACCAGAGGTTGATAAAAGAATCAACAAAAGAGGCACCTAGAAGACAGTCCCAGCAGGGGTGACCCAGTAATGAGGTGATGGGTGTCAGTGGTAGGAATGGTGTTAGGGAGTGTGCTGGTTATTTTTGTGCGTCAACTTGGCTGGGCCTGGCTGAGTGGCTGGGCAGCTGATGGTAGTTATTCCCCATGATGACACTGGCAATCAGCTCTATGGTGAGACCTACCACAAGCAGCTGAGTAGCTGCTTTAGGGATGTGGTCTGCTTCCCATATATAAAAAACAGCTTTGGGAATGGCCTCTAGCTTATGGCATACTTGAACCCTGCATGTAGTCAAGTTGTTGCTCAGCAGCCTCCCATGCTCTGCTGACCTTGGGACTTTCAATGGACTTGAATGAATGAACTGCCGTGTGGTTTGGTAATATTGGGACTGTGCCATTTTATCTGTCAACCTTGGGCTTCTTAGTCTCAGCAGCCAGTAGCTGCCTGAGTGAAGAGATGCCTCCAGCTTCAGTGGGCCGGGAGCAAGAGGCAGAGCTGAAGCCCAAGGTCGAGGGGCTCTCACCCAGTCCCTAGAACCCGGCACTTTGAACTCAGACTTAAAGCCTCCAGACTGTAAGAGAAAGAACTCCTGATTGTTCAAGCCATCCCATTTGTGGTATATTCTTGTCAGAGTGACACTAGGAACCAGAACAGGGAGGTAAAAAGATTAACCACACAGAACAATTGTGATTACGAATCTGTAAGTGCACGGGTATCAGCTAGGCATCTAACTAAAAGGAATGTAAAAGAAGTGACAGAAACAGCCTGATGTCATGCACTTTGCAATTAGATCAGGGTGTAAAATGGAACCACTCTGAACCATTAGAAGACAACTAAATATGGAGTTTCTGGTCTAACAAGAGGCCAAGGAGAAAGTGGTCACATGTGGTACAATAGTCAGATGGAGTTTCTTGGGTACGGACTTATTCTGGTCTCAGAAGAAAGACTGGGCAATCTACGTCCATAAAGGTTTACCGTCTCAGAAACCCAAAGGGGGTCACTATGAGTCAGAATTGACTCAATGGCAGTCAGTTTGGTTTTCTGGTTTTATAGGAAGAACCAGGCCATGCTGAGGAGAAGGCAGTAAAAACTAGGTAGGAGAGGAAAATGGCCATGGCTAAGTCTTCCTAAAAATGAAAACGCCTTCATCACCATGTTCCAAACTCTGTTCCACAACCTACCACAGAAGATTTGTAAGGTGTTAATACGTTCTCTGAGATGGCAGCCAAGGAATTCTGGGAAATGTGCAGCAGTCCACTTTTGGAGCCCACTGGACATTAGCGCATTAAAGGGTCTGAAAACAGCTGGCTGAAATACTAGAGAGCCCCACGACATTTGCCATGACATAAATAATTAAATGTGGTGGGAAAACACCATTTTAATCACTGGGGAAAGTTTTGAAAATAAAATAAATACAGGGTCTGAAAAGTCCTCAGGGGGCGTTGAGAGCATTTGCCTTTTGTTTAACCTGGATTTCCCAGACTTCCTTGAGCCAAAACTTCTCAGCAGCACATCAGTACACATTCTAGGGAAGGATATTTTCTGGAACACACCTCCTTACATATATTCCTCACTAAGGACAAGTAATGCAGCTGTTGACGCTCTTCCCATATTCCCTTAACATCCAACATCTTGAAAACATTTTAAATTTTCCACATCTTTCAAATCATAGTCTCAAATTATACTACCCTATTAGTGTGAAACCACCACTCGTCTGTCAGTTTGTGGGACTCTGGTGGCTTGCGTGTTGCTCTGAGGCTGGAAGCTATGCCACTGGGTCACCCATGGTGGACAGGTTTCAGCGGAGCTTCCAGACTAAGACAGACTCAGAAGAAGGAAGGGGCCATCCACTTCTCAAAGAATTGGCCAGTGAAACCTTATGAACAGCAGTGAAACACAGATATAATGGACCAGGCAGTATTTCATTCTGCTGTTATAGATTCGCTATGAGTCGGAGCAGACTCAAGGACACATAATAACAACAGCAACAACATTAGTATAAAAAGCTGGCTGATTCTAAACATCACACAAATTTTTATATAGAAAAGTCAGAATAAATATAAATACATGGCTCATCCCTGGAGGTAAAATTAAACTGTGAATATTTGTAATTTCCAGTACATTACTTAATTCTTATATTATGGTAAAATTCCTTAAAGAACTGCTTAAAAGCAATACTCCTTGTTTCTTTATTTATATCACAGTACCTGTAAGTGATTATGACTAGAAGCACTTACTGATGAAGATCAAAGATCACTGTCTTCAATATTGATTACACCTCAACATAAAGAAAACAAAAATTCTCACAACTAGATCAAAAAGCAACATCACAACAAATGGAGAAAAGACTGAAGTCAAAGATTTCATTTTCCTTAGATTCACAATCAACACCCATGGAAGAAGTCAGGAATCAGAGGTTGGTTGTATTACACTGGGAAAATCTGCTGCAAAAGACCTCTTTAAAGTGTTGAAGAGCAAAGATGTCACTTGGAAGACTAAGGTGCACCTGACCCAAGCCATGGTATTTTCTATCTCCTCATATGTACGTGTAAGCCAGAAAATGAATAAGGAAGACCAAAGAAGAGCTGATGACTTTGAATTGTGGATTGCTGAAGAACACTGAAAGTACCATGGCCTGCCAGAAGAAAGAACAAATCTGTCCTGGAAGAAGTACAGCTGGAATACTCCTTAGAAGAGAGAATTTGTCTCAACTACTTTGGTCATATGGTCAGAAGGGACCAGTCCCTGGAGAACGATATCATGCTTGGTAAGGTGGAGGGTCAAAGAAAAAGGGGAAGACCCTCAACGAGGTGGACTGACAGTGGCTGCAAGGATGGGCTCAAGGACTGTGCGGATGGTGCAGGACCGGACAGTGTTTCATTCTGTTGTACACAGGGTTGCTAGGAGTTGGAATCCACTGGATGGCATCTAACAACATAATGAACACATGTTAAGACCTCAGCTGTAAAACTGAGACATTTTGACAGACTCACTGATTTTTTCAAACGTGGTTTCTAAATACATCTCAATGTTCAGTGATGTCCAGTTGATTGCAGCCAAGCCAGGTTGGAGAGCTTCATCCACTTTAGCCAAATGAGGACCCATCAGTGGCTCAATGGTGGGAGGCATTTTTGACTTCACTCTCTGATATTCAGCCAGCATCATCTGCAATCAAAAGAAGGTTAAATAATCAAGTAGTACATACATTTTTAGTATGTAATGATATCTCGTTTTTCATACAAAAGATATTTTTGCTTATTTAGGGTTATGCTGTAGGGCTCTAACAGCAATCTAGTATACACAGTGGATAAAGCAGAATATGAACAGAAGACAGAGAATCTCCCATAAATACAGATTCCTAATCCAATCAAATACAAATGAAGAGGAAGGAAAGAGTTCAAGAATAAGACTGTCTCCCTTCCTACCCAGCTTTTGAGTTCAGCTAAGAACCTAAACGTTGGCAGTTAGAACCCACTCAGAGGCTCAGTGGAAAAACAAGGCCTGGCAATCTGCTTCCATAAAAAATTATAGCAAAGCAAATCCTATGGATTAGTTCTACCCTATAGCACATGGGGTTGCTATGAATCAGAATCAACTGGACAGCAATGGGTTTGTTTTTTGTTTTTGTGTTTTTCACCCTGCTTTTAAGGGAGAAAAGTTCTGCGATCTTGTAACTTTTCTAAATCCTGTTAGCTGGTGCATAATCTAAGTTGTTCAGCTTTGTATGTTGGTACAGTGTTTCCTGCTTCCCGGGGCACTTCCTGTGGACCACGCATGGGTGACCAGAGGTCTCCCTCAGGCCACTGCTGTACTGAGTCCTAATGCTAGTCCCAAAGCACACAGTCCTTCTCCACAGCAAGAGAATCAAGAACCATTGTTGATTTCAACTAGTGTCATGGCTTTAAATATCATCTATATGTCAGAGGGACCAATCCCTGGAGAAAGGTATCATGCTAGGTAAAGGAGAGAGTCATCAAAAAAGGGGAAAACTTTCAACGAGATGAATTGACACAGTAGCTGAAATGACGGGCTTAAGCACAGCAAAGACTGTGAGGATGGCGCAGGACTGGGCAGTGTTCCACTGTGTTATACTCAGGGTTGCCATGAGTCAGAACTGACTTGATGGCACCTAACAAAAACAACATGATCAAAGACATGCAAATTTACACCTATGGCCTAGGCATCACTCCAGAAGTCCAGATTCGTATATGAGATACCTACTCATTCTGGTTACGTAAGGCTGCTCTGACAGGAATATACCACAAATGGGATGGCCTTAACAAACAGGAGTTTATTATTCTCTTATAGCTTGGAAGCTTTAAGTCCAAGTTCAAAGTGCCAGGCTCTAGGGGTTGGGGGAAAGCCCCTCGACCTTGGGCTTCAGCTCTGCCTCCTGCTCCCAGCCCACTGAAGCTGGAGGCTTATCTTCACTCAGACAGCTCCTGGCTGCTGAGACTGACAAGCCCAAGGTCAACAAACAACAAGGCACAGTCCCAATGTTACCAAATCACATGGCAGGCCATTAATTCAAGTCCATTGAAAGTCCCAAGATTGGCAGAGCATTGCAAGCTGCTGAACAACGACACGGCTACATGCAGGCTTCAAGTGTGACACAAACTAGAGACCATTCCCAAAGCTGTTTCTTATATATGGGAAGCAGATCACATCCCTAAAGCAGCTACTCAGCTACCTGTGGAAGGTCCCACCATGGAGTTGACAGCCAGTCTCATCATGGGGAATAACTACTACCAGCTGCCCAGCCACTCAACCAGTCCCAGCCAAGTTGGCACACAAAGTTAACCACTACTACTCAATATCTTTCTTTGGATTATCTAATAGACATTTCAAATTAAACATGTTCAAAACTAAAATTTTGTCATTCCCACAAACCCTTCTCTGCCCACAGCATCCACTATCTTAATTGATGGTGACTCCAGCTTTCCACTTGCTCAGACCAAAATTTGGAGTCAACTTTGACTCCTTTCTTCCTCTCTCACCCACAAATAATCCAACAGGACATCTTATTTGCTCTACCTACAAAAGAAAATTTGTATGTGACCTTCTTACCACATCCACTGCTACCACCACTGACTCTTAGAATGGTCTACCTCAAATGCCTGTGTCTTCCACTTCTGCCTCCTACAGCTGATGCTCAATTTAGCAGCAAGAGTGTCCTTTCAAAATGTAACTCAGATAATGGCACTCCTCTGCTTACCACTATATGGCTTCCCATTCCACTCAGGGCTGAGAGTTCTTTCTTTGGTCTGCAAAGGCTTACACTGTCAGGTCATCATTACTTCTCCGATGTCATCTCCAACCACTCTCCCCCTCTGCAGTGCAGTAAATTTCTTAATATGGCCCTTCTAGCCATTGCCCTCCATTTTGTAATGCATCATAAATTCTAATCCCCATGCCTGTTTGGGAGCTCTGATAGGGTAGTGCCTAAAGCACTTGACTGCTAACCAGAAGGCTGGTGGTTCAAACCCACCAGCCACTCCTCGGAAGGAAGGTT